CAAATGTGTTCATGGAAAATGAGAGAGTCTCCTGTGTCAAATTCTGGAGCACTAGCTTTTTTTTTTTTGTTTTTTTCTCTCAGCTTTCCCTTTTTATTCCTCTGCCTCATCTGTCAGTCCAGCCATCCTCCACACTCCCAGCATCCTCTCCTTTTCTCTCCTACTCTCCCCAAACTCTCAAACACACTCCTCTCCCTCTCACTCTTTCGCCATCCAGGCCTCCTTCTCCCTCTCCTTCTCCCTCTCCCCTGTCGCCTCAGGCCGCTAGTCAGGGTTAATTAGCATTGAGTTGAGATGTGTTTAATGGTTAATGTGGTTTCTTCCTGCAAAGCCATTCCCTCCCATGCCTGCAGATTCATCTATCCACGCAAGCTGCCAAGCAATCGCATTAAGAGCGGTGGCCTACCTGCTCGCTTTGACTGTCTGTCACTTCGCCTACCTGCAGGGGATAGAGACCACATGCCAAAACCAGCATGTACATCTCCCCCAATTTCTCTTTCTCACTGGGATGCTAGATATAGAGTGAGTGGGAAGGAGCTGTGGAGAGACACAGAGAAAAGGAGAGTGAGGTAGTACCATATAATAAGAAACAGGTGAGAGAGAGGGAAATGGGAAAGATGAGAGCTACAGCATGTGGGGAGAGGAAGTGAGAAAGACAATGTGATAGATCTGACAGGGACTGAGTGAGATCGAATACGGGGGAAAGATGAGAGATGGGGGGGGGGGCGAGAAGGCAAAAGCAGAGGAAACGCTGCCAGTACCTGTTATTCTGCTCTCTTCTGGGTGGAGAAGAGAAGGGCTTCCATTGCTATGCCACACCACACGGCAGCCAGAGAGCAGGCTGAAGTGGAGGGGAGTGGATGTGAAATTTTAATCACCTCTCTCTGTTTGTAATTTTAGTAGCCCCTCAATCAAAATCAAAAGCATTGCCAGCACTTTCAAGAGTGATCCTTTGGCAGGCTTCTGCGCAGCCTGCTGTTGAAGTATTTAAACTAGAATCTTGTAGCCAGAGTACAGTGTAATACAGATACGTGTATATGTGTATGTAGTATTACATGTATTCTAATATGACATATATTAAAATGTACAGTTGGATCAAAGCTTCACACTCTGTCAACAATGGTTACAACTAAATCACTTGAGTTTTTGACCACTAGGGCAACAGATGATGTAATACACTTTTGAAAAATACATTCTCCTCCTGCAGCTCGCCCCTCTCTGTTCCAAGCCCCTCCCACCAGACTACCACGACCATACGCACATGCTTCTTACAGTAACCAAGTTTCCCATACACTGATCCAAGGGTCTTCAATGTTTTTCAGGCTAAGGACCCCTTGGCCCAAAGACAGACAGCAGGGAGCCCTACTAGCTACATATATTTTTTTAAAAAGAGTTGCACTTGAGATAGTTCTGAATATTTTTTGTGTCTTCTCTTGTTTGCCTAGCTGCTAACTAAGCAGCAGTTGTAGCATTGCTAGGTGCGTTAGCCTCACCCTCTGCACTTTCAGTGGTGGTTTCTACGGTGGACGGTGTGTCAGAGTCTGTTAAAATGTTATGGAACAATCCATTGTGGCACACAAGAATGTCTGTACACTTGACATAGAAATACAGCTAACTGGCTAATATGCAAAAATAATTACAGGTGCCACACAGTGATGTAGCGTTAGCTAGCTCACATGATTGCATAATGATTCCTGGGTAACAGCCTATCAAAAATGTTGTGTACTGTTAACTCATATAGGCTGATTTATCTTAGCTTATGATATGTTAGATTCACGTTAATGTGGATTTACAGACACATTTTACTTTAGTTAATTAGATTATATAGAGGTCATTTGGTGGCCCCCCTATAGTAACTCTGAGGACCCCCTAGGGGTCACGGACCCCATGTTGGAGAACCAGGATTTAAACCTATACAATTGTAGAGTTGCCACAGCTTAGTAGCTCAGCCTCTCCTTGCTCCACTTTCTCTTCTTCTGTTTATCAAACTACAAATTAGACAAGAATTAGCTAGCTTGCCACCCCATGGTCTCTCCGCCTCACTCTCTGTGGACTGCTTCCCCAACAGGAGAGCAGAGACAGACCTTCGGTTGCCACTTGTAGCAGCAGCTCAGCGAATTTGGCCATTGCAAACTCTTGAGTGGCGGGCGTCACTGTGGGCTGGTGGCCAGTGGCAGTGCTAGGTTTAACTTGTGTAAGGTAAGCAACAGAAAGTTTGATGATGTGGGGGAGAGTCGGGGGCTTTCAGGTCCACCAGAGTTTGGGTTTGCACTGGCTGGATTAAGGTTGCTGAGGCGGCTGACTACGGTTCTGTATCCAGAGCTGCTACCTGCTCTCATCCCCGTTAGGTGGTCTGTAGCAGCAGAGAGTAGTTGCGTTTCTAATACAGTTTTGCGCAAAATAAATGTGATATTTTTAAAGTTTAGACAAAGTACAATTGCGACTTGCAGGTTTTTCCATTAAAAGGTGTTTTGCGTATGAGCCGTAATTCTCGTAAAATCTCGTCCTGTGAGACTCCACTTTGTTTGCGGAAGTAAGGTGGACATTCCAAATCTCTTGAGAGCTGGAACAGTCATCTCGGTTGCCACTGCTGCTGTTGCAGTAGTCTACAACCGAAGACGAAGAGAGCGAGTGTTATTCCAAAGGCAAAGTCCTAATTAGTTTGAATGAGTGAACCCTGAACCGGTCATGTGACCCCCAATGTCATGTCCAGTGACGTATATTTGCAAAAAAAGTGTTTCCATTACACTTTTGCGATATACTTCTATATCGACACGTCTGAAAAACCACCTCATGAGAGCATAAAAACTTTTTCTCGATATTTGAGAGTTTTTTCGAAATGTAGGTGTTTCCATTACCAGTTTTTTATTGCGATATTTAGGTTTTTCGCATTTCTAGGGTTAATGGAAACGCACTTAGTGAAGCTGAGTACACACAGTGAGTCAAGGCTGTAGCTAACACAGCTTTATAAACGTGAACTTGAAGCCGCAGCTATAAGCCTTTGGCTCGGGTTGGTCGAAGGCTCAACTATTTCCTTCTGGATACTGACATGTTTTATTCTGCTCATTGTCAGACTCTCTTTTCAGCAAGGTCATCTTCCTTTTTTTGGGCTGCTTTCCTTTGAGGACAGTTGTTACCAATGCTGGAATACCCTGCCGGAGTCTCTGCCATTGAGTCAGTGGCTTTTCACCAAAGCATTTGTAAAACAATCAATAGGAACCAAATTTCTCTGAAATCGCCTGTGATTGGCCAAAGTCTCCCATCACGGCTTAGATTTTCTAAAGCCTGAAAACAGGGACAAGAGGTGAAGAAGGTGAGAAGTTTATTATGGGATTCTTTTCCTAATGACAGGAAAATTAAACTTCCTACCCCAGCTTTAAGTCATAAACATTTTGTAGCTTCTTGAATGTGAGAACTTTAGATCTGCAATGATAAGTCGATTAATTGATAAGTTGATGGACAAAAATTCAAGCGACAACTATTGTGATAATTGAATTGAACTCTTTTTTTTAGGGCAAAAAGCCAAACATTTGCTGTTTTCATGCCTCTTGAATGTGAAAATTTGATGCTTTTCTTTGTCATACATGTCAATAAACTGAATAGCTTTGGGCTTTTGGACTGTTTGTTGGGTAAAACATACTCTTTGAAAACCTTGGGTTCAGGGAAATTACACATAGCATGTTTCACTGTTTATATGACAGTTATTGACAAAGTAGTTCATTGGGAATTTAACAGCCAGATAAATCAATAATAAAAATAATTGTTGGTTGCAGCCCTGGAGGACTTCCTGCTTTTCAATGTTTTATATCACTGTAAACTGAATGGTGTTGGTGTTGTTGGACTGTTGGTTGGGCAAAACACGACATTTGAAGGTGTCACCTCAGGCTCTGGGAAATGGTGATGCATTTTTCACTATTTTCTGATTTTATATTATTGATCAATCAACGAACAAACAACAAAAACCACAAAACCAGAAAATAAATCACACAGTATAGGAGCTGTCTACTAGATATGGATGATATTTATGATGTTTTTGTGTAGTGTTGTTTTGTGAAAAGACGTGTTGGTGGTAATATGCTGTTAAAGGTAGCAATCTGTCAATAAAAGCTGCTATAAATAATGCAAGTTTCAAAACATTCAAAATTCATGCAACATGCTTATCAGGCCTTGAGGGTACAATGCAATTTGTGGAGAAAAACTGAATGTAAAGAAAAACATTTTTTTTATAATTAAAGCTTCCCAAGGTACCTCAATGCTGGGCAGACACCGTAAGCCCGTTATTAACCCCTAACTAAAAGTAGAATCAAGCAAAACAGACCAAACCACATAAACAGCTTCTCAGAGATCTACTGGACCGTATCCTTCTTTTGTCCTTCTGCCTTTGTTTCAAAGTAAAATTCAAAGTAACGTTGCCTTATTGTCAACATTTTGAAGATACAGCCGTCTTGTCATTGTTTTGATAGATAAGGTGAATAAATGGTGTAGCGTGACTTAACACAGCATACAAGTTAAATAAAACCGCACAGTGTGTATGCCCAGCTTTAGATTGTCTAAATGTATAAGAGCTGTGAGTCTAACTCTTTAAAGGATGAATACATTATTGATCCTTGAGGGGAAAATGTCACACAGCAGCCAGTAAATATTATATGACAAAGTAGTCAGGTGGAAGGTGTCACATGACTGCAGCAGGACCCATCAGTGGAAAAAGATGACAGTGAACAGTATTTTGTGAGACAGTTACTGCAGTGACAGTCCTGACATCACAGGCTCTGACCAAAATGTGGAAGTGGTAGTCCACTGACAGTGCCCCCAGGCTTTAATAATACATGTACATACATTAGGGATCTCTAAAAAAGAACAACGGAGCCACAGTTCAGGAATCTTGTCAGAAATGGACTTATACAACTGCTTCAGTACATGTCATTTCGTTGATTTTAACCTGAAAATATGAGCAGTGTGAAAGACTATAAAATGTTTCTGAACTTCAGTTTTTGTCTCAGCCAGGATATGTGAAGCTGTCCAAGCCAGTGGCCCTGTGGACCCAACAGGACGTGTGCAAATGGCTGAAGAAACACTGTCCCAATCAGCACCAGATCTACAGCGACTCCTTCAAACAGCATGACATCACAGGTACTAATCTGCACCGTGGCTGTCATGCAGTCATAGAATTAAAGGTGTTGGGCTGCCCAGTAGCTCACTTGGTACAGCAAGTGCCCTATAACAGCTATGTCCTTGCCGCATTGGCCACAGGTTGGATTCCAGCCTGTACTCAGAGTTTAACTGAGTACCCAACATAAGAGGTTATTCTGAGAACCATCTGTGAAACATTTTCAACCACAACCCCCTATAACAGGTTCTACAGAAACCCTTCTATACAAATCCTTATACATTCCAAAGGTTTCATCTAGAACCCACCCAGGGCTGCTCTGAAAACAGATTTGAAAAAACAAATTGACTACCTTGCCTATAGACCTCTCTCAGTTGAATCACGGTTGTAGTTTAACAGGTGAACCTGGGGTCAAGGGAACCACGTTCGGCAGCCTTGAGGCTTCACAAGAAATGAAATTAATTGTTTAAGGGGATTCCAGACACAACTACATTTAAAAACACTACATAAAGCATTGGAAAACATTTGAATATTTGAGTGTGAGGATCTTGTAATATCCATGCTTATCCATGAACAACTCTTTCTCCCAAAGAGGGTTCTTAGGATGAAAACTGTGGAACCCTCAGTCTTACAAAGAACCCTTGAAGAACCCTTTTTTCAATCAAGTGTTCTTCAAAAGCAAATGGTTCTGGATACAACCTAAGCCCTTCAGGAAGAAGCTTTCTGGAACCCTTATTTCGAAGAGCGTGGAATATGGTTTTCCAACATCCATTCTGCTTTTTTTCCCCACGCAATCAAAAAACACAGGTTTTGTTCTGTAGCTGTTGCTTGGTGATTAGTGCTTGATGCTTGCATTTACATTGTTAGAAATTATCAGACAATGCAGTTCACAGCCATTTATTATTAGTCAGTCAGGGTCAAAGTAACTCTGTCTTTCAGGTGCAGTAATTAGCTTTGTTAGTCAGTGTAGGAGAATTCATATTTGTGACACTGGTACAACTTTAAACATGTAAACAGTCAAAACAAGCTTTTTATTTGACAAAACAATAATTGCAGATCAAGAGTTTACGGTGCAAATGTGATGCAGCACTGAACTCTGCTGTATCTGTCATTTCTCATCTCGATGAAGCCAGATCTCATCCATAACATCCCAGGTGCGCTCTGCACCCACTGTCTGCCACCTGCAGCCCTGCCACCCGGCCTACCCGTCTGTCCATCCCTGCCTCCCCACTGTCGGCGTCACCGCTGACAACAGTTGCCACGTCAATCATCTCCCTAACGAGGCTCCTCAAGGTCACCCCCGCGCTAACGACACTCCAGTCCTCATAGTAACAGACGACCGTTAATTGCCATGCACTCTTCCTCTCAGAGCACGACTGATCACATTAATATGTTTATTTGTTGCTTTCGAGGACCTCGTCGACTCGGTGACTGGCTGGTGGGATAAATCGCTTGGCGGTCATGATGAGCGGTGTAATGACTCACGCTCCCATTATACCCTTTGATGCATTTTGACTTTTATATGTTTGCATGGAGGGTTTTGGGATTTAGCATCCTCTGTTTAATGGTCTGAAAATATGAATCTTGCTGCTTTTCAGTTCAAGTTGCACATATATCTTATGAGCAGCACGGAGGTCCTAGAGATAACCCACAGTTCATTGCATGCTTGCTGAACCGCTGCTACATTTTCAATCTATCTTCAAGTGGAAGCATTTTGGAAAATTTTCTGTTCTTTTCAGTCAAACATGGATCGTTTACTGAACGGGCCTATTTGGCAAAGACTGCCTCAGACACAAAATAACTAGACAGAAAACAACCACAAGGACACATAAAACGACCACAAAGAGACACAAAATTACCCCAGTAAGGCATGAAATAACCTCAAAGAAACATAAAAGTACCTCATAGAGACACAATGTCTACAAAAAGACACAAAATTACCCCAAAGAGACCTACAATTGTCTCAAATTGACATATAACAACAAAAGTGAGACAAAAAAGAACACAAGGAGGCACAAAATGAATACAGAGACACAAAACAACCACAAGCACACACAAAATGACCACAAACAGACACAAATCGACCAAATAAAGACACAAAATTACCCCAGACCTAAAATTGTCTCAAATTGACATAAAACAACAAAAGTGAGACACAAAACAACCAAAACAGATACAAAATTACATCAGAGAGACACAAAACAACCACAAGAAGACATATCTGGAGTACAAAGAGACACAAGACAACCAAAAAAGGACACAAATTACATCAAAGAGACACAAAATTGCCCCAGATTGTCACAAAACAACCAAATAGAGATAGAAAATGAACACAGAGACACAAAACAACCACAAGCACACACAAATCGACCATAAAGAGACACAAATTGACCAAAAAAGACACAAAATTACTTCAAAGAGACCAAAAATTGTCTCAAATTGACATACAACAACAAAAGTATATCACAAAACAACTACAAAGAGGCACAAAATGAGTACAGGGACACACAACAACCAAAGACACATTATTCCCTCTAGAATCAACAAAACGACCATAAAGAGACGCAAAACAGCCACAAGGAAACACAAAAGGACCTCAAAGAAACACAAAAGGACTACAAGAGACATGTAACAACCAAAGAAAGACACAACATTACCTCAGATTGACACAAACCTAAAACAACCACAAGGAGACACACAATAACCGCAAGAGCACAAAATGAATACAGAGACTGAGACACACAAAATGACCTCAAAGAGACACAAAACGCCAACAAAGAGAGACAAAATGATGAAGAAGAGACGCACAACCACCACAAAGTCTGTGTCTTGCTCCATGTAAGAGAGGTGGTGGGGCCTTTTGCATATCTGTGCCCAGGGGCCAGTTGTCTCATAATCCGTCCATGCATTGAAGGTACAATAGAGGCACTGCTGCAGTGACTAATCGCTTGTGACACACGAGCTGTAGTTTTTTCTTTTAAGAGTTTATTTATTAATTTGGGTGTTGTGCAAGATGAATTATTCACAGCAATAATTCAGATCAAACACAAGGCACATACACAGAAAGGACTATCAGAGGCTACCATCCCTCTTATCTGTGCAGTGTTTGTTGAATAAAAGAGGAATCATGTCAAGTGCAGTCATCCAGCCATTCAGTTGGTGGAAATTTCTCAAGAGGTCCATATCTAATCGAGGAAAATTAATCTAACTTTAAGATTAAACGCCTCAGTGTTGCTGACGAGCCTAACGCCTTCAGTTATAGTCTGTAAATAAATTATATTTTCTCGCATTAGTCTTTCAGTGATTAAAACATTAGAACTTAGCCTCCTAATTTTGCATTAACTTAATGACCTGTGTTTGTTATTAAGGTGTAATGATTTTTTTCATACAAGACAGGAAAGGGTTAACCAAATATGCATGCACATACGGCGCACATACGGCGCACAAACACACACACGCACACTTTCCTACTGGCACAATTAGGAGATAATGACATGCGCAAAACCTGCAAGTAATTCAGTTTGTCTTCGCATCGAGCATTAATTAACAGAACCCAATTAAAACAGGCCGAGCCACACCAATTGGGCTCACAAGGCAATTTGCATCCCAATCAATCTTTGAAATATTATGCAGATATTTTTCTGTTCCTACACCCTATTAGAATAAACAAGAGGGGAAGCAAATGATGAATGGAATATTGTTGTGGAAAACAATCATGCGTAGACAAACAAACAGTGAGTATGAATACATTTATAAGGGCATGCAGTCATGCATCTGAGAATATCTATTTGTTCAGTGTGCTTGTCATACACTAGCTATAACCCTTGAAAACTGGGAATGTGTGTGTGTGTTCATGTGTGTATCTGCAGGGATAGGCCCAATTTTTGGTTTCCAGAATATTGGATTCTTCAGACCGTAGCGTCTCTTTACTGTATTTTCTGTCCACAGAATACTCTACCCTCTGTTCGTCTGCCAGCGGTACTCAATCTCACTTGTCTTGGCAAAGTAGTCATCCCTTCATAAAGTACCAAATCAATAAACGGTCTCAATTCCAGATCATAATTCAAACAGGCATTTGTGTCCTCCCTCCTTTGACATAAAACAGCAGCGAGGGAAATGCATTTTACTGCGTAGCGAGGCTGGTGCAACATTTTAACGTCGAATGACTTCAGTATGCAGCAGCTGCCTCCCTGCTAGGCTCCTGTAACCTCAGCCAAAGAAATCAATGTTTCCCATCCTCCCTCCAGCCTATACTGCCAAGAAACCCTTTCCCTCCCTCAATCTTCACCTCCCACCCCCAACAGAGACGGCGGCGAATTTGACTTTAACACCCAGCTGTCATTAAAAATGCATTAAAGCATATTAAGGCGTAATTAGATATTAGTCCCTAATCCGTTGTAATTACAAGGACGAAGCTCTTTTGCTGGGAGAGTAGCTTGGCATGAAAAATTAGTTAAACACACAATTTCCGATACCTTAGATGTAATCAGTGCAAAAGGTGTGATGACATAGGTAATCAAAAGCAAGGGGATGGAACGAGGGAAAAAAAGAGGGTGAGTCATTATTAAGTTATATTTTCTGTCAGAGAAGACCATTACATCACATAGTGGAAATTCAGAGGCTCTCTGAAGGCATACAAAGACTGAATTAGATGCAGCTGTAGAGGCTGGCTGCAGGGCCGGGGTTTACAAACCTTTGAGTAGGTGGGGCACTAGCAAGTATGTGTTGGGGCTCACATTTAAAGCCCTGGCTATTGAAAATAACAAATTGAACATTATTAATTACATTGTTCATTTATTATTCAGTGTAATTAATTATGCCCCAATTAACGACTTTAGATGTACTAACATGAGATAATGTCAATAAATTGTTGCTGTTTGTGACTCAAATTAGCCCACAGCCATGGATAGATTATGAGATATCTATAGCTGAGTATCAGGTGTCGACTCAAATAACCAAGTACCAAGTAGTATCAAAACATCCCCAGACAAATGATGCCTGCATTCGATCCTTTTTGCGCCAC